CTACTTAAAATGCTTCCAAGACTAACTAATTGTGTATTTACCTCTGCCAAAACAATATGGGATAACTAGGAAGCACTATACACCTTAGCAGAGCTTCATCTTAAGTGAGGAGCATTGCTTGTATTGTGGTAGTCATGGGAGGGGGTGTTTCTGACAGTTGTATATTCTTTTGACTAATGTCAATGGGTGGATAAGGCAAGTGGGGTTCAGTAAACAGCTAAAAAATAGGCTTTATGTGTGTACTCATGGGGATTGGGGGCAAATGTTAAACAGTTGTTGACTGAAAGTAGAGAACCTTTGACTGTCTCACATAAGTTTTCATACAAAGACAGTGGCAGAACATCATGATGTCTCACCACTCTGAATACTTCTTAGGATGGGAAGGAAGGAAAGACATTTATAGTCTTTGTCAGTCATCACGTCCATCTTAGGGGAACTGTTCAAAGGGAGAAGTAGCTGGGTGAGGTCCTCAATTCTTTCTGACTTTTGAGTCTGGGAGCAGCTGGGAACAGCTATTATTATTATTTTGGTAATAGCTAAGATACACTGCAATCACTTTAACCCAGTCTATACTGTTATGGCAAAGATTGGGAAAAGGTCATTGCAAACAGGAACAGCTAAAAATAATTCTCGAGAGTGTGATTGATGGAGTCTTTTCATTTTACAGGTGGGCAAGCTGAGATCCAGAAGGGTCACAGAGTCTTCTCAAGGTCATGCTACTGAAGTTAAATTCCAGATCCCACGTTTGCTGTGACTGAGGCCACACTATCTAAAGCATACTAAAAAACCTGCAGAGGAGTCTGAGATGGTACTGGAAGACAGTACCATCCATCTTAAAAATCATTTTGGCTTCTGCCAGCTGATGAAGGAAATAAAGTTAATGACACCCACATCAGTGTGATGCTGTCATAGGCTCTGTACACAGGCTGCCTGGAGGAGAGCACTGCAGACCCTCTGATGTAGGAGAAAAGGTTTCTTTCTACAGGAATGGCATGTGTTCCTGCAGAGTGCCTGGCTTTGAATAAGACACATGCTCACATAGTTAGTTAATACCCGGTGAAAGGATGAAGGCAGGGAAGCCACCTGGAATGGTTCATCCAGAAGAGCCTTTGTGCAAATGGGGTCCTGTCTTTGCAGATGGGTTGCTCAGAGGCTGAATGGAACTTACAAAGGTTGGGTTTAGCCATCTGAGTTGACACTAGAGTAGCCACATGGAAGATCTCTGTTATGGTGGTGCCGCAGGAGGAGAGCAGAGTTGACCCTAGAAGTCAGAACCCGTGGACCATAGCTGTTCTGCTTTTTCCATTGCCCCACATAGCTGCGGCCTTTCACAAGGCAGTCTCAAAGATAAATTTCCCATGTGTACCCAGTAGGTCATTTCCGGTTTTATAAATATGCAGAAGTTATATGCAGATTTATAATTTCATTTATTGGCTTTGGGTCCCTGTCCAAACTGCCCCTTGGGAATAAAAACATGACATTTCTTTCCCATCTTTCCTAAGCCTCCAGAGGACATTTTGGTTGGCTCCGAGGCAGAGTTGTCCCACAGGCTTAATTCTTTAGGAAAAAGTCCTTGGGCCATTTCAGAAACTTCTAGATGTATTCTGCAGTGCCCAAAAATACAGTGGTTAGGACTCAGGGAGAACATAGCTGTTACTAGGGAGAAAGACCAAGGTGGTTATCTGCCCTTCTTGGTAAGCGTGGGAAACTTTCCAAGAGGGCATGTCTCAGGAAAACACTCATTTATCTGTCCACAATAATAGAGACATTAAACAATATTAAACATGGTATTTACCATGTTCTTTCTTGTCCTAGAATTGATTGAAACATTTGCATTTTGAAGTTGTAATCAGCTTTCTTAGCAAGTGATTGACACACATGGTCTAAAACCTTAACACAAGGCTTCATCTACTGGGATGGGAAATGGAAGAGGTACTTAAGGAAAAGGAAGGTGGTGATCTTTTGGGAAAGCCACTTGGTTCATGACCCTCTATATTTGTGCCCTGCTAAAGCACAAGCTAGATCCCTTTCTGTCTCAGTGGGATGTGCTGCGTATTCTACTCGAACTGTTTCTCCAGGCAAACTCGACTTTTTCATTATTATGATTAGTGCCTCAAAGCAGCTGATTAAAAATTTGGTTATTTTTATTGTCACTCAAAACTTGGGCAATTCTGCTCCTTCTCACTGTACTCTGGGTTAGTTTGCAGTGTTTGAAGACATTTGTTTGTCATGATCAGGGAGAAAAGAGGCTACCGGCACCAGACAGGCTGCTACAATGCACAGGGCAGACATCATGACAAAGAATTACAAAGATCAAAATGCCAATAGTGCAGAGGCCGAGAAGAATCCTTATATATCATCATGTATGTCTGAGTTATTGATGAGGCAAGGAACTGTTGGGGGGTCATACTAGTCCCATCCTTGCTGGCCTCTGTAAGAACTCAGGGTTCTCAAAGCCATTTTCCCTTTGGTTTAAAGGTTGGTTGAAAGGAATGCATTTCTAGTTTTAAATAAATAAAGAAAAATTGAATATTAGTTTTAGCTCAAGTGGATATAAGGCTTCAGTCTCCAAATGATGCAAAATTTGTGTTATTGGATTACAGGGTGTCATGTATTAAATTTAAGAATGTCAGGCTGCTTAATATGAGAGCAGGAATTTCAGCCAAATAGCTTCCATGTATCTGTGGGGACATGGCTGGTGAGCACTGCAGTGCCGCTGGTCTCCCAGGACCCCAGTCTGCCTTTCTGATGCCTCCATTCACTCTCCGAATTGATAGCATATGAGGCTCCAGCATGGCTCACTTCAGTTGTTTTTGTTTGTTTTGCTGTCGATGTTGCTGTTTCGCTGGTTGCACACAGATGTGATGCAACAGCACGTTGGGTAGTGTCCTGGTGGCCCCCAGTAATTTGAAACAGGTGAGCAGCAGGCCTAACTTAACCTAAGAAGGGCCCAGGGACCCTGGGAATATATACTGACTCATCCAACCCTCAGCCTGTCCCTTGGTGAGAAGGGCTGGTTATTCTCCTGTAACCTGTAAGGGAGCTGCTGGCCTCTGTTTATCCTAGATTATAAGGCTGTTACATGTCTTACCTAAAATTTGAAAGATGAAAGTATTAGAGATGCAAATATTATTTGAGCAAGGACAGCTTGCTTGGTTAGCCCCCTTGTGACCCCCTTTGCTTCATCCATCTGGGAAACTGCAAAGGGTGTGAAAGTTAATCACTGCATTCTCTGGTTTTGAGAGTGTCGCAGCACCATCGTGATTCAGATCTCTCTCGTCATGCCTCCTGCTTCCTCACAAGCACAGTGAGTTCTCAATCATGTCTATTGCTGCTCACATGTGCCTTCACCCGTAGAGGGAAAGGGAGATACAATGAGACTCTCTGATGGGCCACCACCAGTTCACTTACGGAATCAACACAGCGGAGTCTCACCCTTATCTACGCGATTACAATGCAGACCTTTTAGACCAAGTCTCCTTTTTATGAAAGCTCATGTCTGGGAGAGGAAAATCAAGGAATGAGTAAAGAAAAACGGAGTAGGGTTGGGTAGAGTGATGAGACACTTTTTGCCTCCCCCCATGAAGTAGGTAAATCTCACAAGGCCCTGGAATGTTGAACTTAAGAAAATACTTGGCTATTTGCATTCTAAGCTGTGACTGGGACAGTGTCATGATAAATAATTATTTTAAGAGGGCATTAAAGCTTTAGCAGTGGGTAACCCTGGGAAGGGAGGGGGTTTCTTTTCTTCATCAGCTCAAGGGAGAAAACACGAAGAGAGACTCAAATTCAGAAACTGGCACTTGGGAGAGGAGGCCTCATCCATATCACCAACCAGTGGATTAGTCAAACCAACAACTCTTTGCAGTGTAATGAAATCACAAGTACGTGCTGTTTTATGATCCGAGAGGATCTTATTTGGTGGTCATATTTTTTTTTTAGAACAACCTGAGTGCGTTTTTTTCCAAATGCCTTTTAAGTCACTACAGTGGTAAAACATGAGAAGGAGACATGCCAGAACGAGGAAGATTAACGATCTCTGCAGAGCTGGGAAGAATATTTTTCAATTCATATAGATGGAATTTGTCATCATCACTTCTGAAGATGGCATGATTTGCCCACTTACAAAAGGCCTATCTGTTTCAACACTTCCTAAAGATGTGATTTTTCACTTTTCCCTTGAACTAACACAGGAACGCTAAGCCTGTAAGCAGAGAATTAGGAGTCAATGGATGGGTGTGGGGAGCCTAGCAACTGGCAGCAGAGGTAGGCATTCATTCATAAATAAGAACTGTCCTTTGGAGTAGGGGAGGGTCTGCTGTAACGGAGTTTGGAAAGAAGTGTGTATCAGGGAGGATGGAGTCAAAGTTTTAAAAGGAAAATATTTCTCAGTGTCTATTCGTAAGCAGGCCTGATCTGTACTTAAGTTAGGGCTTTGCAAGCTGAGGTCATAACTGCATTATCCCCTAGCTCCAAGTCACAGGAACCCTGGCCCTCCTCCGCCCCCCAAGAAAAACAACAAAAAAGGAGACAGAATGCTATTTTGTGCCTAGCCAGTCCAACTGCAACCTTCCGCGTCACCGCTAGTTGTCACTTCGCTCCCAGACGGGAGACCCGGGGTTTCCAGCACTGCGGTTTGAGAGAATGCGGTCCCAATTAAACTAAAAACTCGTAAAGCTTCCCCTTAAGTCCCCAGCCGAGTGAAGGGTAACCAGCAGAAGGGCCAGGGGCCAGCATCGGGCCAGTGTAGCAGTCAGACAGACAGACAAATGGCAAGAAACAGGCAAACCACTGCCGGAGTAGCCACTGTCTGGGACCTACACGCACCAGCCAGACACCCTGCGGGTGAAGGGGGGGGGGGAGGAGGGGAATGGAAAGGCCTTCAGCACACAGCACCCCCTCCCCAATTGATGAGCCCGCGGCAAAGTCAGCCTCTTTACTCCATCTGAACCCCATTTGTACCTTAAGGATAGTAGTGGTCACTATAGAAAATCGCGTACCTGAAGAATACAATGGTCTCCCAAAGGTAGAATCGCAGAGTGTTGAAGCTGTACATTTTCCAGATTCTTGTGCTGTAAAGTCCACGAGTTATGGGGTGCAAAATGTTTCCGATGGGCACCTACAAATCCAGAGAGCGTCACTGGGGAAAATAATCCAGATGTTTGAGGGAGCGGGGGATTGGAGGGACAAGGTGGCAAAGCAGGGGGAGAATTGCAGCCAGGCTGCTTGGGTACCGCGGAAAGCGGCGGCCGTGCAGGTTCAGCACCACGGAGAGCGTCCAGTCAGGCTGCGGGCGGGAAGAGCGCTGCTGATGCTCAACTCGCTGGAGGCTCCCTGCGGCGCTGGGAGGCACTCTTGGGGGTGGGTATATTCTTCTTTTTCTTTTCTTTCTTTCTCTTTTTTTTAATCCTTGTTTTTATGTTGAGAGATCAGCTTCAAGCAATCAAGAAATCCGTTGGGATTAGAGCCCTGGCTTCAGACCCTTAGACCCGGCTGGCGCCTCCTTTCTGGCCCTGGGCTGGACCGAGGGGTTTTAGGGGTTGTGTGTGTGTGTGTGTGTGTGTGTGTGTTGGGGGGTGGGGGAAGGTTGTGGAGCAGGTGACGGTGCTGGCTTCAGTTAGATGATGGAGAGTGTGCCAGGCTGGCGCATCGCAACCCAGTCCCGGAATCTCGTTCCTCTGCCTCCGTTCCAGTCTGCTGTCGCCTTGCGGTCTGCGTTCTCTGGTCCCCGCCGAATAAGTTGGGGTTGCTGCAGGAAAGGTGTCCCATTGCTTGGGGCTGTAGGCGCAGTAGAGCCCACCACAACTTTCAGGGGCTGCTGGGGCCCATGGCTTCCCAATGGGGCTCAGGAGCCCAGGCTTTCAGAGGCATGTCGTGTTTCTGAGCTCGCCCATCTTTTGGCCAGACTCCCTCAGATCTTCAGACTTTCTTACTGCATTAATTTAACAAACTGGCAGCGTAGAGGATGGGGGGCAAGGGCCGATGGGAGGGGGTGGAGAGGGGAAAATGGGGGGAAAAACTCCTTAGAAGCTTCAAACCCTCCCACTCGAGGTGTTCATTGGCCCGCGGCTGCAAAAACCATATCTTCTCTCCAGGTTCGGCCAATTGTGTGTTAGGCTCTGGGTTGAGTTTAACCCTTGAAGTGCTGGCAGAGACCAGCTTCCTGCACTTCCCAGGCCCCAATGCCTTTGCAGGTCTTCTGTCACTCCAGAGAGGTCATAGAATTGATCTTTTGAAGTCTTTTAAAATCTTAACCTTGATTTTTTTAAAAAAAGAAAATAACTGTAAGTGAAACACCATGAACTCCAGTCCAGATGTGCTTGGGGGACTCAGTTTATCATTTTAAAAGGGTCATGGAACCAGATCCCTCAAATTCTTTAAAATGGTGAAGCTATACTATTTGGGCTCAGAAGACTTAGAAAAAAGTCTCGTGGACAAAGTAAGTGTCCTTCCAGGGTTCCTGTGATTGGGAAATTCAGGAAAAGTGAACAACAAACAAACAAAAAGCACAGTTTCTAGGGTCAAAGGGGAGCTGATCTGCCTGGCTCACTTTTGAGAGAGACAGAAGACACACTCCTCCATCTGAACAGAGGAAGCTTGCATCATATCACACAGCTGGGGAAACTGGGCTGCAAATGAATGGCAGGAGTGCACACTTATCTTGTTCCTATGTTTCTCCCCACCTCCCCATTTTCTTTCACCTGCCTTCCTCTGTTTCTCTACCTTATCTGACTCTCAGAAATGAGATATCCATTTCACTGTTGAGCCCATCTGGGGAGGTAGAGTTAATCAGATTTTCTCCCAGTCAGGGGACTTTAGTGGATTAATAGCCTCTGCAGGATTTTCTGGCCCGCTGGAACTGGCTGGGACTCTGGGGGCTCTCCCTTCCCATTCTGCTAAGAGAGGATGAGCCTTCTACTTACCCAGCATATTCAGGAAGTCCTTTCTTGGGGGGGCAATAGTTCCACATCTCTGTTCTCTGCAAGTTCAGGTCTTTTCCAAGCGAGGCTTCCATTCCCAGTTCAGGACCAGACCAGCAGATCCCCCTCTCCTGTGCTGCAGAAGCATGTCCCAGACAGACTTTCATGGCTTTCCTACATCAGGCTCCCCAGATATTTACAGCAGTGACTGAAAAGGAGACTTGCTATCCACAGTGAGTGCTCACAAATTTGATGCAAATGTCTATGTATATGCACCATATTGAATACATGCATGTAAATAAGTAGCATATGTAATCAAAAGCATACCAGCAGACATCCCGTATGGCCTCATTGCTCTCCAGTTACACTTTAAAGTAAACATCATTGTCTTTGCTCATGTGTTTGTGTGCAAATATGTGTGTACTCTTGGAAGTGAACTTTATCTCCTTTGATCTCCCCTTTTCAGACAGTCTCATTATGTTTCTGTGATTGGCACAGAACTGGAACTAGCTCTGTAGACCAGCCTGGCCTCAAACGTACAGAGATCTGCCTGTTTCTGCCTCCTGAGTACTGGAACAAAAATTTTGTACCATCATGCCTGGCCTAATAAGTGCTGTACTCTTGTGGGTATCATTTTTGCTCTTTGCTTTGCATTAATCCTGAAGTGAACCTGAAGTGTCTATTTGTATTTGTATACTTCTGTTTGCAATTGGTTTCTGTCCACATAGGCATATATGTTGATACTTTCCTGTACATGTGTATGTGTCACATACATGCATTAACATGTGTCAGTGTGGTTCCCCAGATACCTTACAACACTTAACAAATCAGAGACTATATCCTAATCTCATCTGGCTAGGAAACACTTGCACAGTTAGAAATGAATGCAATATCAAGCACTTTCTTTTACTCCTCCCACAACGGAAGTGTGTGTGTGTGTGTGTGTGTGTGTGTGTTGCTGCTGCTGGTGGTGAGTGTGAATTTTCCCAGCTTATGGTAAGAGAAGAGAATGACTGTGTCACAAAAGAGGAGCATTGTGTTTTAACAGGTTTCTATTTGTGTGAGGGGGACACTTTCATTCAGTTCACACATGAACTGAGTATGTCCCAAGCATGGGATAAAGGTGGTCTGTACTCCTGGGATACACAGCTGCTTCAGAGACTAGTGAGAAAATCCAGATAGCTAAGGGTCTGTTCAGTTTATTAACTTCCTCAAAGAACCAACTCTTTGGTTGATTTTGTGTATTTTTTTAACCTCAGTTTCATCAATTTCTTCCAAAGCATAAGTGGATGTCGGGACAACATGAAAATAAACATTTCTGTGAAGTCAAGGAAATGATCAGCAGAGTTCACAGACAATCCACAGAATGGCGGAAAATCTTTACCATCTATTCTGCAGACAAGAGGCTACTATCCAGAATTCACAAAGATTGCGGAAAATAAATCCCAAGGAAATAAAACTAATAATCAACAGATGGATGAATAACTGACTAGGCTGTTTTTGAAAACAGGAACACAAACGACCAATAGCTGTTTCAAAAGGTATTGAGTATCCCAAACTTTCTTGGATATACAAATTAAAGCTATTTTGAGATACTACCTCAACCCAGTCAGAATAGTTGTCATCACAACCCTGACAACAAATGTTGAAGAGGATGTGGAGAGAAAAGAATCCTTATTCACTCTTGTTGGGATTGTGAATTAATAAAGCTATTGTGGAAATAATTTTTGAAATTTCTCAAAAATTAAAAATAGAACCATCATATGACTCAGCTATTTCACCCTTGGACATGTACCCAGAGAATTTTATACCCTACCACTGGGATATGTGCATCCATGTGTTTATTGCTGCTCTATTCACTATAGCTAAGAATTGGAATCAACCTAGATGCCCATTAACAGAACAGATGAGTGATAATGAAAATTGTATCCATCTATCTATCTATCTATCTATCTATCTATCTATCTATCTATCTATCAGTGTTCACTGACCACTATGTGTGAACTATACCATGTGCCCACTCACATATATACACCTCCTCCTACACAAATAACTGACTAGAAAGGTATTACAATTTTAAAAGAAGAAGAAGGAAGTCAAGGGGTATATAGTAACATGGAGATGTGCTTTTATATGGGGCAGCCAGATCAGGAAATGTTCTGAAAGCAGACATGCGAATATCTGTCAAAGGAAGTGGGGACTGAGACAGAGGAGAGCTTTCTAGGTGAGGATAAAAGCTTCAGGGAGACAGAGGAAGGAAGAATATATTGGAGTGTGCAAACCCAGTGTGCCTGAGGGGAGGAGAGATAGAGAGACAGAGAGACTTTGGGGCTGGACTACTTCCAGTCCCTGGGGGCTTAGTATTACCTCCAGCATAAGGACTGTTAGTTTTACTCAAGTGAGGCAGGGAGTCGCTGGAAAGAGGGAGAGGGAGAGAGAGAGAGCCCCCCCACATGTGCATGTTCATAAATTTTTGTGTGTATGTATGTATTTGTGTGTGTCTATGCAAATCAAAGCAGGAGAAACTCATCAGGAACAGCTGAAAATATTCTCAGTGACTGGCCTTTTGTTCAAGTGTTTATGCACAGAAGGGAAAAATTAATCCAGATAGATAATCAACTTCCCCTCAGACCAGTAGCAGTTGGCAGAAGAACACGGAGATCTTCATTATAGTTAAAAAGTCTTTCCACTGCTCTTCTACTAAGAGGAAGGGCATACAGAAAAAGGATCAAGGCAATCTAGAAGGGAAGGGATTCTACCTGGATTATTAATGATATACAGATAAATGCTATGTATTTAGAAAATGCACTTAATGCACCATAGCAGACAACTTAGTTTAGCCTGACTTATGTTAAGCACACGCAGAACTCTTACATTTGCCTACAGTTTAGGCTACATCATTAAGCACAATGCTCATTTGATTGTAGCCTATCTACACACACACACACACACACACACACACACACACACACACACACACACACACCCATGGGAGATGCTCAGTAAATATTTCTTGCAGAAATGAATGAATAAATAATTGAAAAGAAAACTGAAAAAGTTTCAGGCAGAGGGCTTAAAGAGAAGGGAAACAAGAGTGTCCATCAGGTGAGATTTACCATCATGTGACACCTAGTATTAACAGCAGGGAGGGGGGTGAAGAGTGGCTGGCTGCTTCTACACTGATCTGAAAGGCATCAGTTATGCTCCGTTAATTAAAAATGAAACAAAATAGGACCTGGGAAGGCTATCTGGAAGTTAAGAATACTTGCAGCTCTTATAGAGGACCTGAATTCAGTTCCCAGCATCTACATTCAATGGCTCATAACTACCTGTAACTCTAGCTCCAGAGGATCTGCTGCCCTGTTTTGGCCTCTGAGGACACCCACATGAATTGGGCACATTCAGACAAGCAGGCATTTATAAACACATTTAAAAAGGTAGGATGATGGATGACTTTGTTTTTTGATTTTTCGAGACAGGGTTTCTCTGTGTAGCTTTGTCGACCAGGCTGACCTCGAACTCATGCAGATCTGCCTGCCTCTGTCTCCCAAATGCTGGGATTAAAGGTGTGTGCCACCACCACCTGGCTGATGACTTTAATTCCAACACTGGGGAACTAGAGGCCTGAACTCTATTGGGCCAACCTGGTCTATACATGAGTTCATGCTATCTAAGGCTACAAAGTGAGACCCTGTCTTTAAAAAAAAGATGGGACCCCAGGACTCCTCAGAAACTCTCAGCTGTCTGTTCTGAGGAACAGCCGCTTGGCAATAGTAAGAGTACTACCAGTGCACTGATTAGGTACTCACAGCCCAGGAGAGCAGAACGACGGACTTGTCTCGATCTCAGAACTTGAGTCTGCAGGGATGTGTCCGAAGCCTACAGTGAAATAAGAGAAGGGAGGCTCTGCGAGGAGGAAATGAATGCCTGCTATCAATGCAGATCAGACCCCGGCTTCCTGACCCAGCAGCTTGACATCCACATGAGACCCTGCATTATCTTCCGAGACCTCATTTCCATGCTTCCCTTCAGCTGCCTCTCTCCTTTCTTCTCGGCCTGGCTTTAACTCTTATTTCATCTTTATTCAGT